TTCTTTCGGAGTCAAACATTTTTGAAAATTCTTGTGTAAATCTTTTCCAGTTTGATTTTATTTCTAGAGGTAGTACTGAAAACCATTTTTGGGCTGCGCCATCTAAGGTTGTTTGTATCAACGCTGTGCGTCGATGTATCCAGTTTTGATGTAGTGGCGTGTTAATTGGTTCAGGTCCTATGTTTAAAATCAAATTTGCTGTTACTGCATTTAAGTAATCTTCTACAGAGTATTCAGGGTCTGTTCCTGTGAAGACCATTAAAGGTTTATTTGATGTTATCGATGATCCACCCATAAGGTATGGATTCATTGTCATTTGTAATGATTCTGCTGCATTTGGCATTTGAGAAAAATTTGAAAGTTGGTTTCTTGTTATTTCATGTTGTTGAAGATAATATGGGAGTGGTATTTCATTTTGCATTTGTGATGGTTGATACGAGTGTGCAGTCATTGGATTTTGTTGTTGAATTGGTTGAAAAGATTGTGTATTAATTGGATTTTGTTGTTGAATTGGTTGTTGATGTTGTGCATCTATCGGTTGTGGAGAAAAATTTCTATGATTTGTACGTGTTTTCTGTATTCCTTGTCTACGATATTCTTGAGTATTTTGTGTAAATATATCTGGTTGTAAGAAGTCATCATCTGAGGATAAATAATCCATTTGATAAGATGTCTGTTTTTTATTTTTATTTTGTTGAAAAAATGGGTAATTTTCACTGTGATCCTGTGGAGGATTTGTTTTGAAATTTATTGAATTAGATTGGGTCATTGGGTTATCCCAATTTCGAGATCTTGTATATTGGTTAAAATTTCTTTGTGGTTGATTATATGTTTTTGATGGATGTGTATAATTATAATTATGGTCTGCAAAGTTGTTTCTAGTGAATATTTTGCGTGTTTTTGATGGTATTGTCATGGGTCTATATGTTTGGTAATCCATATGTGAATATTTTGGAGCAACCGAAGGTTTAACGGTTGATTGTAAGGTTACCTGTGTTTGTGAAGGATTTGTATTTCTTGGTGTTGTTAAATTTGGGCGTATTGGTGAAATACTTTGTTGTGTAGTTGTTGTGTGTACAATTTCTTCATTTATGAAGTGTGATGGTGTCTGGATATCTTGTTGAGTAAGATTCCTAGTTCCATTGAGGTTTTCGTTGTGTATGACTGTAGAGTTTAAACTATTATTTTGTGTATCGGGTAAAAATGTATTATAGTTTAATGGTGTTGCATCAATTGTTAATGGTATTACTCTTACGTAATCTCTTATGTAAGATATTGTACCTATTGCTTGACTTGAGATTGATTGTGGAAAGCTTATAAATGCGGGATGAGACCATTCGGGGTCCCAAACATAATCTGATTGTTCTGTGATAGCGGTATCATCGTTCGAATTTTGGGGTCTAAAATTTTTTCTTGCTTGTGCAATTAAATCAATATTGTGTGTGAAATAATCTATTATGAACCATGCCAAAATTTTTTGTAAATCGTGTTTGGTATGTTGTGAAACGTCGTCTTTCGTGAAATTTTCTTTAATGATGTTTAAATAACTAGAGAGTAGTGTGATTTCATGTCGTACTCTTAAATGTTTAGATGTTTCTGTCGGTGAGACATTTGTTAATGGGATTTCGTTTTCTAATATCGAAATATAACTATATATTATTGCGAAAACTTCATTGGTGAAAATGGAGTTTGCTCTTTGTGAGTTATGGTATTGGATGTTTTTTATATATTCTGAAAAAACTTTTGAAAATTCTAAATCAAGATCGTCTGTTTGAATAGTATATGTTCTATTATTATGGTTTGGGGAAGTGAATTCTATAGAGTAGATTCCATACTGCTGTGTTATGTTGCATATATCTTTTAGATAGTGATCTATGATTTGTCTTTTGATTTTTACATCGGGGAACTCTGTTTTACATGGACTGATTCCGGGTTCAAATAAATTTACGAGTAAATTTTGACAAAATATGTGTTGTCCTCTATCAGTATCTGCGTCTACTATAAAAGGAAAGATTTCATCATCATCTGGAGTTTCGTCACCTGGGGTGTGCGTTGAACTCATTTTTCCGTTCGATGACTGTTAATATGTAATTATTAATGTGTCGAATTGGTTGATTCCAATTGTATAAATGTACTGGTTTGTGTTTGTACTGTTTTTTTATTCTTCTTTTTCCTCTTTGTGATGAATTTGAAGTTGTTTCTGAGTCAGAAAAATATAATTGATCGTGAAGTGGGTAATTTTTATCTATTGATTCTTTTAGTTTGTAAAGTTCGTCTAAACTGTTGGTTTCTGATTCTGAAAATGCGTTTCGATTTTTTGAAAATCTTTTTCGTGTTATTTGTCTTTGTTTAGTTATTATTTTTCTCTTTAGTGTTTGTCGTTTTGTTCGAATGTATCCAACTGTTTGTGTATGAGGTGTGATTACAAGGTCGTATTTTTTGTTATCTATTTCACAATTGTGTAAAATGATTGTTTGTTTATTTCCTAGGTTTTTAAATGACATAAGGTTTAGGATGACGGATGCAAAAGGTTGTTAAATGATTTCTATTTTCCTAAACTGTTAGTTCTTACGATTTTTTGGTTAGCTTAACCTGGGTCTATTTGTTCAGGGTTGGAGAGAAAAGTATATCGATTCCGAAGAATGATTTTTACTTTCTCGTGACTAGTATAAGCTAAGGTGTTAACTTACTTAATCTTACTTAGGGGTAGTGATTGTGTTCAAGGGTTGGAGAATAGTAAATCGATCCACAAGGTTCAGGTATAATTAGAACGCGAGTAGTTCGTTAGATACTATTTTAAACTTACTAAGTCTAAGATTTATCCTGGGTCTGGTAAGAGGGGGGGTCAAGTGAAGGATGATTAACCGAAGTTCTTCACTGTTTATCCTAATTTGAATGATTAGTTTTGTTTAAAAATTTCTATTAGTCTTGGGTCTTTAGAAAGGGTTGGGTAGTGAATCGACGTTTGAGGTCGTTAGACACTAATTAAGTGGGTGGGGGAGAACAAAGTTGTTCTGTTTGATCCAAGGATAAGCCTTGATGATCAAATTTGAAATTTAATTAAGTAGAAAATGATTTAAGATCCAAGGATAAGCCTTGATGATCTGGTTTTAAAATTAAGTGACTTTAAGTTTTAATAAAATTTTAGATGTGTGTAAAGGAAAGATTTAGTGTTTTGATGATATTAGTGAGTTGATGATTGCTGTTATGTTTTAGGTGATGAAGCTGGAACAACAAGATGATTTATGATTACTAACCATTTATTGTCATGCTACTAATTTTTATTTTTATTTTCCAATAAATATTTTTCAAACATGTTTTGTATAATACTGCAGAGTTTTAGGAAAACGATCTTAGATCTTTTTATCAATCGTTATTGTATAATATTAATTTTGTTTAGCGCCTGAAATGATTTTGAAGATTAACTTCAAGGTTTTATGTTTGCAAATGGAAATCTAAATTCATTGCAAGTAGTATTCGAAATATAAAAGTTTGTTCTGGCTTTTGCCGAACTATCATATAACTATACGGCAAGTTTCTACTTTGTCGTATGTCGTCTTTGGTTCGATGTCTTCTTCCAATTCCGGGTAGTTCTATTATGGTTCGGAATATTGGCTCTGATCTATTGAGTCGGAGAGACATTTCAATTAAATTATTGTCGTATAACATTTTGTAAATGTTTTTGTCTAATTTCTAATCTATTTTTGGTTAATTCTAATCTAGTAAGGTCTTGTTCGAGACTTATGGTCGCACCAGATGAGTTAGGACCGAAGTGTAACTCATAGAGTAATTTCGGATAGGGTACACCGTCTGCTCGTCACGCTATCTTATTTTCGGCCGGATAGATTCGTGCAACTTCTTAGTCTAATACCGATCCTAATCTTACTCTTATACTATCTAGTCTCAGGTTGTTTAACTAGTCTCTGCTAGGCTCAATAGATCTAGGGTATACTGGTTTATTGCGGCTGCTGAAGTGCTCGGGAGAGTCCAACTAATTTCTAAGTTAAATTCAAATCTCTCTGGTGCTGAAATTACAAGTAACTTCAGCACTTACAAATAAGTGGGTTGTTAGTTAGATGGATCATGATTGGTTAATATTAAATACTTTACATTGGTAAAACATTTAATTTATCCAATCATAAAATGTAGTTTAGATCAGGTTCCAATAACCTCAATTGAATGTGTTGGTTAATGCAACACTCTGTGATGAAAGTTTTTTAAACGTCTAATTTGTTGTCCAAAGGTTTGGATATGTGTTCCACCGATTTTTCGTAGCTACGAGAATTTGGTCGAGCTCATACCCAAACCTTTGGGCAACAAATTAGACGCCTAAAAATTTTGCATCACCATGTTGCATTAACCAAAACATTCATTTGAGGTGAGATTTTCATCCGCAAAAAAGTTCCCTAGAATCCATTTTGTGCATTGATTGATTTGGCCAAAATCTTTTTTGTCCAACATTTTTTTGGCGGAAATTGAAATAAAAAGTCATCCATAATCAGTCGAACTGGTCGATACAAACAACAATAGCGGAAAAAACTTATATACCCAGCTGCTTTTTTCTGGATGACAAAGTCGAAGCATGCTCGAATTCTGTCGAGACAGTCGACACAAAGGTGAGCAACTTGACACGGATTGGCATCTGAGCCAGGGGCGGATTTAGGGGGGAGGGCGGTGGATCGGACGCTTTTTTTCTTTAGGGATTCGACCCCCTGCCGACCCGAAGGGTCGCCCCTTTGAACTATTTTGTGATATCCATTTTTGGCTGATGTACCCAAAAGTTTTTCTGAGGGCGCCGGCGCCTTTGGCGCCAATATATACTAAATTTTAGGGGGGAGCGCGCGCCAGAAAAGCGCCAGTTTTCGCTATTTTTAGTGTATTTTTTTCAAAAGATTTTTTTACACTCTAGATACACTCCTAGATACACTCTTAATCTGAGCAACCTTTTTTTGAGAGCATTGAAACAAACAAAAAACAATTTCTCACTCTCGTCTTAGCAGTCAATAAGTCAATAAAATGAGTTTTTATCTTGATGATTAACATAAAACTTTTTTTGTCAAAATACAGATGTACAAAATTTAATCTACTCCGAGGAAGCAGCTTGACAGACTTGTCTGAAGAGTTTCAGAAGCGCCCTGTGTTTCTCGTCTAGCCTCTCTCTTTCGCCGCCTTCTTGTTTTGACTTTTTCTCAATGTGAACCAATCGTTTAGCCAGTTCGGCGTTTTCGTTGTACAGTTGGCGAACTAGCTTGTCGTGTTTACTGGCGTCGGAAAACTGAAATTACAGAAATTTTTAGATACAAAAAACTGCAAAACAAAAATATCCGAATGAAGTCAAGCGAAGAAATTTTGTTTAAATACTAAAATTGATTCAACTATAATGTTCTTAAGATCCGATCACAATAATAACAGTTTAAAAAAATTTTTGAAAAAGATGCCGTGCCAATTAAAATTTTAGTTCTGTAATCAACGTTTTTCTGCGGCATAAGGTGGAACTCAAGCTCGTTAGCGTCTCAAAAAAGTTTAGCCCATTAGTTCAAATTTCTTATTTTATTTTCGAGGGTTTTCAGCAACAACTTCTCTGAGACTAGTCATGAGATACTGGCTATTTTACTTTTTCGGAACAAACATTCCTATTCACCGATCCGGCTAGCTCTTTCCTAGTAACTTTAAAAAGCTTGAGTGAAAATTTCAGCATGAGTGAAAATTTCATAATTGCAGAGAAAACGACAATAATGTAGAGAAAACCTCTTTATTTTGCTCAATCAATTCAAAAAATTGCAACTTCTAAGTCACGTGACTGTTTCATGATACGTATTGAGCGCACAGAAATTTTCAGCCATATTTTACAGGCATCTCATGGTTGCCTAAATTGTAACACTGGGTCAAATATTCTATTTAAATTACACACTGGATCAATGATAACTCAGAAAGTTGTTTAAAAGCTATCTGCAGAATCGCCAGCAGAGCGTTCGAATCAGAAATCAGCTCGGTAATTGACTTGATGTTACTAGCGGAGTTCCACAAGGTTCAATATTGGGCCCGTTACTTTTTCTTTGCTTCATAAATGATCTACCGAGTGGCTTGGAATCCAGTTGCTTTGGCTATGCGGAAGACTACAAGCTGTTATCTGTAAACCCTATAGATCTACAAACAGACATAATCATCTGGTGCTGTGATAACAACATGGGTTTAAATCTATCAAAATGTCATAACTTGATCTTCAAATCAAATTGTACATCGCATGAAATTCAGTTAGGTGAATACGAAATTTCAGAGCCTAATAACGAAAAAGATCTGGAAATCGTAATATCGAAAAACTTCACCTGGTCTGCCAACTGTGAACAGCGAGTGTCAAAAGCCATAGGGGCACTGTTCCAAGTCGAGCGAAATTTGTCAAAATCGTCATCACTATCATCAAAACTAAATAAATACTGTGGCTACATTTTACCAATTATATTAAACGGGTCTGAGGTGTGGAAGCCAACCAAAACAGAACTATGAGGCATTGAAGATGTTCAAAAGAAAGATACCAGATTGATCTAAACTCTTCGGCTATGCCTTATATGCAAAGACTTGAAAAGTTCTATTATTTTCTCTTTCATTATATCACGAAATATACGATCTCCTTTTCTTCCACAAAGTTGCTAACAACAACTACAGATGTTATATTCAGGATCACGTTATGCCCTGCATTAAAAAATCGTACGAGACCCGACAAGTACCCAGAAACGCGTTCCATATCCCAAAGCTGAAAAAAAAATGGCAACAACAATTTTTGGTAGCGACTACCTTTTCTGGTAAATAAACTGTCAGCGTGTCTTAGATTCGACCTGATAGATTACAGAAAATTGAAAGAAAAACTGACTGAATTATACCAGAAATTTTGATTTAGTATTTGTTTTGATTTAGCAGATCTTTGCTTTTTCATTTTTGACACTTTCGACTTTAACTGAAGCAAAAAGAAAAGATTGGAACACAAAGCAAAGTTTTCATTCTATAATTGTTACAAGCCAAAAATACGATTTTTTGTAAGCAAGAGCGGTCAATGATAATGCAAAAACAATAATGGAAATTTCGTCATCTTATGCTCTAACTGATACTTTCAGAGTTTTTTGGCAATGCCAATAGTTTTATTTTCTTAATCTTCTGCTTTTTGGTGATAATGAAAATATTGCTAGATTTGAAACTTTTCAATGGCAAAAAGCCAAAATGTTAGCTCCATTTTAGAAATATTTGAGACATGACTCAGTACCATGGTTTTGAATACTGATTGACTGATGTTTCAGGCCTAATTATGGATACAATACCACTGATAAGATCTTGAATCAAAAATTTCAAACACTGATTTCTATATCAAAACACCAAAGATTATCATAGATAGTTCATTCCGGGGAGTTTTTAACATTTTATTTTTATAACTTGGAAGTTAAACAATAGCCGAACTTCAAAAAAAATTCTTTGTTTTTTTTCGGTTATTTTAACAAAACTTGCGAAAATGGATTCCGGTTTTTCTATTTCACTGAGAAATCTAGAAAATGAAATAATTTTGTCATACCGCTGTGTATGAGCTATTTTAAAACCAGAACGGATTGGCAAGATAACTCAATACTTATTAAAGTTTGAAAAAATGAATCAACGTTATAATGTATTCAAGAGGAGTGAGCGATTATGATCACCGACACGGTTTTGTCTTTGTTGGTCAAAGTCATATTAAATTACGTCATATCAATTTACGCCAATCTAGCCACATGACATTTCTCCCTCTTTCTTAAAAATAATTGAGTTCTTAGTTACTTTAGAGACTAATTTTGTGTTTTAAGTCCGTGTAGGACTCTTTTGCGTATTTAATTTTTTCTGTTTCGATTGTGGTTTGTGCATATAATTGCTTTTTTCTTTTCCTCATGATCTTCCTCTGTGTTTGTTTCCTCTGGGCACTTGTCACCATTTTCCTTGCTTTTCTTTTCTTTTGTCGTGATCACCTGTGTTTGTTTGCTCCTTTATTTTTCGAATGGAGATACGAAGTCTATTACGTTGATGTTGTCGCTTGTCTCTGGTTTGAATGTCTAGAGAGTTTACGTGCACACCACGCATCCCGTTGAGTTCTTTTTGAGGCCCTATCTTATGGATCAGACTTTTGATGCTCCAAATATTTCCGTATTGTATTTGTTGTTGTTGTTTCGGTGACGCTATAGAATATTTCTTTGGAGAGTCTATGCTAATGATCGGGTTAGTCTAGATAGTCCGCAGATTTGTGGGTTTGGGACAAAATCGAATCCGCTGTTCTTCAGCAATCAATGTTGTTTTCCTCGATTTTGTACCCAAGCAGTGTGTATGGGGTGTATGTTAATATTTTCCCATCTTTTGTTTTAAACTTTTGCTCGAATGTTTTTGGATCTTCAATCTTTGTTGCGATTGGTACTTTTTTTTACTGCTACTTGTTGAATGTGTTGCATAGTGCTAGTGTCCACCTGTTTTTTGTGTTCTTTTTGTCTGAAATCTAGGGCTTACTCTTCCTTAGTTGGTGAATGTCTTTTTCTCACACTTGAACCATTTTGTGCTTTTTTGGTTTCCGTGTTCGTTAGGGTCGCGTTCCGGTAGATTTTTTATCGGGCGCTTGTTGATTCTGACTTCACTTTTGGACCAGCATTGTATGCCTTGCATAACCTTTTGCGTTTGTGAAAGATGCATCAGGTTTTCCCGATCTAAACACGCGTGTTTTGCGTTTTTCCATTTTTGGTTGTTTAGTGAACTAGTACTTGAATTCTTGAAATTTTTGATAATGATTCGATTGGTTTTTGTCTCATGTGGCTTAGTTCATTTGCTACCACGCTTGACATTAAGAGTTTGTGGTTGGCTTCATGTTGTTTTCCGGTCATCGTTGGGAGTGATTCGGTTGGCGATGTTTCCCCTGTATACTGTTGTTCTGGATTAACTCTGCTTACGCAGTATTCATACTGCTCGTACGCTTCCACTGTCAGCTCGGTTTGCGATTGGGCATCGTTTTGTTGTTTTTTGTTTGTGGTTGTTTGGGTCTCTGATTCCGTTTTTGGGACTTTTGGATGTGACGTATGGTATAGCTTTTCTGAAAATTGTTCCCTCCTCGTTTTTTTTTTACTTTCTGGGAACTTGATGGACTGTCTGCGAAAACGATTTTTGGCGAAACTTTGGGCTTTCGTATTTGTTATCAGCTCTCGTGCGTTGTGGGCTCGATGTAGTTGAATAAAAAGATGACGTAGTCCATCGCTCAAAGGTTGTCGTTGTTCTTTCGTGCCATCTCGGGTTGGACAAGCTTTCCTTTCTGTACGATTCCCTTTCCAGGTCAGCTCCGTGTTTCTCACTCGTGGTGGATTATTCGCTTTTTGGAGCTGCATCCCCTCGGGATCATGCGCTATCGGAGTTGAATCTCCCTTTGAAGCCCTTATGTTTTTCTCCCAATCAATTTTCTTTGTTCTCCTCCGCTGTATGTATCGATGATATTGATGTAGTTTGATTATTTTGAGTTTGTGGTCAGCTAATTGTTTGACTGTTTTTGCAAGTGAATGTTTTTAGATTTGGACTGGTTGACCGCTTTCGATATGTGTGGAAGATTTGAAAAGCACTTGAGGTTTCAATTGTGCAGTAGAGGTCCTTCATTTTCAGCGCTCTTTTCAACCAGCCGATTTAGTGCTCGATCTTGATTGGCTAGCTTATTAGTATGCGTTTTCAGTTAATTCAAGGCTGGAAGGGAAATGAACAAGTTATTTGACGCCAGAACAATTTCGTCATGACACTCGCTTGGGACAGCGCTAATCCTGCCATTTTTCTGGACAAATAGTCAATTAGTCCCATTGTTGTCCTGCCAACTGTTTCATATAAAAAAAAGGGATTAATCTATTAAATCTAGTGAGCCTGCTTTGGCTAGGTTTTCTTTCGCTAGCGTTTAATGCGCTGAGTAAAGCTAGGTGGTCTGTAATGACGGTGAATTTCTTTCCGTATAAATAATATTTGAAATTTTCGATCGCCTGCACGATACCTAATTTTTCTAAATCATTCACGGAGTATTTTTCCTCTGTGGATATTATTAACCTCGAGGCATATGATAATGCTACTCAGCCCTCATCGGTAAATTGCTCTAGGACGGCTCCTAACCCAAAGGTAGAAAAGTCGCAAAGCACGGGTCTCTAAGCTTTGGTTAAATTGTTTGTTTTGAGTTATTTTAGATACGAGTTTTGAGATTTCGTGGAATGCCGTTGTGTGTTCCAGCTTCCACTCTTAAGTTTTGTGTTTATCTGAGTTTTTTAGTAGTGGTTTTAGTGCTGATGCAGTCTATGCAAAAATTGGTATGTATCTCGTGAGGTCGTGTATTGAACCCATGAAAAGTTTTAGTTGTTTAAATATTTTTTTATTTGTGTCTGTTTTCCGAGTTAAGGGTTTTTTGCCCTCGCTATTGATGTTGTAATCGAGCCATTTTACCTGCTTGCACGCAAATTTGTATTTGTCTAGTGATATTGCTGGAGTTTGGTCGTTTAGTTTGTTCCAAACGTTCTGTAACAGTTCTTTGTGTGTTTGTTTTGACCATTTTGTTTCAATTAAAATGTCATCGAGATTCTCGATTAAATTTTTGCAGTTTGTAAGTGTAAGAACTATAGCTTTTTGAAATTCGGCCAGCATAACCATAAGGCCGTAAAATCCGGTTCGGAATCGGTATGTTTCCGTAGTTTTACCCCTATTAAGCTGAAGTTGCACTGATTTCGTGTTTTAACACCCCGAGAGATTTGCGAATATATGTGTTGAGAATAAAGTTTTCTTCTGTTCTTCCGTTTTGGTGATCTGGCCGATGTTGTCTAGTGGAAGTTCGATGTTGGGCTTCTGATATTTACGTTTGTGGATGATTTTGCTGATTTTCTTTGAAACCAACGCTAGTTTCAAGGTCTGGTTTTTTTTGTTGTCTCAATTTTGCTGATGAATTGTTCATCCAATTATTCAACTAGCTTTTCAATGCGCTTCTGATCTATCAATTCGTTGAATTAGGTCTTTACTCGTTTTTGTAGATATTTGTTGAAACTGGTACTCGTCTAGCTTTTTGGTGATTTGGGTTGACGTCCTTTATGAAGTAACTTTGCATTAGGTGGTTTTTGACTTTACACTTTTAGAGTTGTTGGAAAAAGCCTTTACGAACTTTTAGTTACTTTTTTCAAAAATTCTTCTTTTTTGTAAGTATTAAGGATCTGGTTATGTTGTGGTTTGTCTTGTGCTAATTTGAAGCCAATTTTTGGCCGTATGCTCCGTCCAATTATTTTTGCTTTCTGGTCGTCTACAGTGATGAACAGTGCTAATTGTATGGCCCAACCTTCCGCCGCGATTATCAGACGCCCTTTCGGGATAATTTTGCCGTTAAAACATGAAGGATTTCGAGCGGAATCCTCCGGTGGGATCTACTTGATGCTGCTGGTCGTTCATTTGTTCCTAATATCAGTGCCATTTTTTAGTTGAAGAAAGCCAATTGACTTCCTGAATCGGCGATTGCAAATATGTTTTCTGTTTCCATTTTCAATTTCACAATATGACCAATTAAACCATCTATTTGGATTTTTCTCGAGTTTTTTTATGTCAAATGCTTTTGAAATCGCTAAAATGGTTAAGTTGTCCTGTGGTATTTTTTTCCGCGTATTCGATAATGCAAATTCTGCATAAGCCAATGGGTCGTTGTTATCTACAACGTCAGTGGATTCTTCCTCTTCGTCTTCGCGTTAACTTTTTTTCGTCTCATGCATGTAGTTGAAGTGTGTTGATCTGCTTACCTTTGCAAAGAGGCCGCGCTTAGCACGCTTTGTGCTCGTTTTGTCTTTCGCTGAGCATGACTGTAGGTGGTTTGGGCCAAATTGTCTGCACACTTGTAACACGTTCTGTTCTGTTTGTTTTGTTCATTTTGATTACCCCTTGCGTTGTAGTTTTCTTGGGGGAAATTAGTTTGACCTTTCGAAAAAACCCGACCTATTTGGTGGTTTTGATAACCGATGGGGCGCCTCTTCCGCTTTGTTGTTGTGCCACATTGGCTCCTATTTAACTGTTGCCGTTGTGGTTGATACCGCTCCAAGCAGATTTTTTTTTACTGTTTTGCTTCTCTGTATCCCTTTCTCTCTTTCGACTGCAAATTCGTATGCTTCTTGAGGGGATCTGGTTTCTGTTAGGAGTTCTTCAGCTATCTTCTCTTTTGACATCTCGGCCGTAAACATGTCACAAACCCTTTCATCTTCTCTGTCTCCACAGTCAGTGCGTGGTGCTAGTTCTACGAGATTGGCATGAAATTTTTCCAAAGTTTCTTTCTTTCGTTCTTTTTGGCTGATGAAATTATATCTATCAAACGCTAAGGTTCTTTTCAAGAAAAAATACCTTCGAGTATGCGCATGAATTTTTTTGTAGTTGTCGATTGGATGACCAGTACCGGTGTTTTCTGTTGGAATGGTCGTTGACCTTCCACTTTCAGGCATAAGAATATGCAACTTCTTAGTTTGGCGTCTACATGTCCCTTGGAATGTTGTTACATAGAACGCCCCTGTCTCTGAATTTTATTGCGTTGTTTTCCCAATTTACTTTTTGCTCTTGGTTGCAGATATCTTGGTTGCACTTTTGGGCCTCTTTTTGCCTTATTTTAATTTTGCAAATTGATTCAAGTGGTTTGACAATTGGAGGTTTTGTTCTGAGTAAATCTCTTACTTCTAATCCGTCTTTGGCAAACACTGCCATTTTCATCATGGCCGTCCACTTGAACCATTTCAAAGGTGGATCTACTGATGCTTTTTGCCGAAATGGTTGGATACTTAGCGCGTTCTTGTATCCTGCTGACTGCGCCATGTCATACCGCTGAGTATTAGCTGTTCTAGAATCCGAACGGATTGGCCAGGTAACTGAATACTTGCTAAAATTTAAACAAGTAACTGAACGGAATGACATTTTTCTTGAAAAAACAACGAATTAAGTTTTTGCTGCATTTTCATTTCAGTAAAATATGCGATTTTTGCCTTCCATTGGTTCTCTGGTTTAAAATGAGAACTATAAAAAATTTTAAATCAGACTACCAAAGTATAACTTGAGTGTGGACAGTTTTAAAATTTTTCCTGAAAAAGAGAAAACGCACCAGTTAACAAAATTACACATTAACTTATTCTACACCTAAAAAAGGCAGTTTTTTACTGAAAAGCAAGCTTTGGATACGGATATACATTTAACTTCTTGCGTCGACCGAGAACAGTTGATCTGAGCTATAGCATTCAATTTCATTCTGAAGAACCAATATTTGGATTTAAAGATAACAAGTTTGATGTGAATCTGAAAGCTCTGTTTTGATCATTTGTGGTAACATTTCTCAACGGTTTCATTTCAAGCAGGCGAAGTAAATAATTGTGAAGTGGGACTTGAAATTGTGAAACTCATTTTTTAAAACGAAAACATCAATTTGCGTCGATTTTGTCCAATAGAATCTAAGAATGATTCTAGGCCGCTATGTTTTTTAACCCCAAAAATTATCTCTCCTACATGTTTTTTGCCCTCGTTCATTGTTTTCTCTAGCACACTTTGCAGTTCCAGCACCCTGGTATTCAGCAGCATATTCTCCTTCTGCATTTTCCGACTGGACTCGGACGACTCAAGCTTGTCACCGACCCTTGATTGACCCAATATGCTGTCCACTTCGTCTCTCGGGAGCTTATTGATTGATGCTGAAAAAGTTGAATAGCCACAAGATGACAACTGTTTGAGTCAACAGGTCATGAAACAGACAAATACTTTAATAATCAATCAGAATTGAGACAAAAAACAATTTTACGCGTGAATAATTATTGCGTACGTTTATTTCTTTTATCTCGACTCTGATTGGTGAAAACTGTAATTGTCTACTTGTTGACCCGTCTGCTTAAAAGGATGTCTAAATGTGGAATCAACACCTGCTGAAAATCAGCAACAAAAATATTTTTGAAATTTCAAAACTTTGATATTAAAAGATCTTTTCTACAGCAGAAAGACAGCTCGTATTAAAGTCTTTGAGTGGCTTGAGTTCCCTCAATTTGTCTGTTTTTGCTTCCAAATACAGTGCTTTAAATCATGCGAACAATACAAACAATTTTCAAAATTTCCAGCTTGTTTTTCTCAAACTGGGTCAAATTGACCTCGGCCACATCCCATGTCTGATTTACCTGGTTTGCCTGGAGTAACAGCTTGTGCAATTGTGTTCAACTTTTTCGACTCGATGAAATTTTCTTCGATAATTGGTGAAGTTTTGTTCGATCTTCCATCTAAGTGTGCATTTTGTTTGATTGAGTTGACTGTTTCGCGATCACAATCTGTCTTCAATTTTAGCGCTTCGTTATCCACAAGGTGCATCAATTCAATTAGCTTGCATAGTTCGTTCTAAAACGCAATGAGGATTTTTTTGTTTTTAAGTTGAATTGGTTATAAATTTAGACCACATACAGTTGGAAAAGAGTAATGAACGCAAGTAAACAGGAAAAAAAACACTGACTTTGTTATTAAAATCTCAACTTTCGAATTTCACAGAAAAAATAGAGTTTCCCGCTTGTATTTGGAGAGCTATTTACGTCACTTTCAGCAGATGAATTTCAATTAAAATCAAAAGAACGCATATATACCTAAAAGCATTAATTCATAAAAGCATTAATATGTATGAATGCACATCTGTAGTTATTAGAGAATTACAAGACATTCTCCTGAAAAAACCCTGTTTAACTCCAAAAAAACACCAAGGCCTATATAAGAGTTTTCACTGCGTTCAGTACTCTTAAACAAGTTTACCCGTTCTTTGTTGTTCAGGTTGATTTCTTCCGTAGCACTGAGAAGCATCTTCAATTTTTCCTCAGGGCTATGACTCGATTTCTAAAGTCAGAGAAAAATATGGCATTCATTGGCGCGTTTTTTTTTCAACGAGAACTTAAGTACCCTTAAAAAGTTTGCATTTGATTTATTGTGGTACCAGATTGAAGCCCTCGTATCATGATTCGAATTCCAAAGTATTCTTCAAAATTGTTTCAGTTTCAAGACAAATTGACTAAAAACTTTCGTTCAAGCAATCTGGCATCAGTTGAAAAACGATTTGAAACCCTCGATTTTACGATATTATAAAGCTCCACCCGGGTCGAGGTTTTGCTTTTATGACCAGACGGTCGCGATCAAATTTTGGTATTTCCAGACTGTAGCGACCAAAATTGGATAATTTCAGACCGCCGCGACCAAAATTTGGTGTGTTCAGACTTTGCGGACCGAGGCAACGTGTCCGCGACCGGCGCTACCCAAGGAAAGTTAACCGCGACCGGCGCGACCGAAAGAAAGTTAGTCGCAGATGTCAAAAAAATTGTCGCGGCTTGGTCGAAAAATTAGGCGAGGCGATCGAAAAATTAGTCGCGGCTGTCGAAAAACTAGTTGAGGTTTGAGCAACTAATTTTTCGACCGCCACGACTTACTTTTTGACCATGCCGCGACTAATTTTTCTACTATCGCGACCGAAATAGTGTATTTCTAGAGATTGTCCGCGACTTAATGCCCTGTCCAGACTATGGATTTTTGGTCGCGGAATTAACATTTCCACCAACGAAAAAGTCGAAAAATTAATCGCAGACCTCGACCCGGGCAGCGTTCCAACTCTCATATCCAAAATGTGCTGAAATTTTTTTTTTAAATATTTTTCGTCATTTCAGCGTCATTTTGATCAAATTAAATAGTGAAAAAAAATCTCTGGAAAATCTCTTTTTATTTTTACCACGCAATTGTCTTTTTATTTTCTTCTTGCCAAAGTATAAAGAATCTTTGCAAGTAGTTAGTTCTTTGCGTTGGCTGCCAGGAAAATTTTTCCTACTTTTATGACCTTAGTCAAAAGCAAACAGAAGTTCAACCAAAAAATTCCAGTGAGAACGATCTGTAAAAAAAAAGCTGATTACCACGCATCAAAGCTTGTTTATTAATATGATGATAATAGTAATAATAATAAATTGCATTCGGGCAGTTCCATTGTGGGCAGTTAAATTAATAAATGGACAAACCACGCAACAATTTAACTATATAGGATAACACCATTGGACCTGCAGGTCCGTTCACAGGTGTTCCAGAGTCTCAGATATTTGCAAAATTAATTGAACTCGTTTTTTTTTAAATTTATTTATTAAATGGTGAACTTGCCAATGAGGTGAGAAGTTGAGGCGACTGTGCAAGGAATTCGTTACTGTTTATGATGCCAATGGCCGCACTTTCTATTCGGGTGTTCAACTCGTTCATCTGTTCAACCAATTCTTCACTCCTCGACTTGAACACATTTTCAAATCATAAAGTTTTCAGTTTTTTTTTTCAAATAATATAGTTTCTTGCATTTGCAATTGTTTAATTTCCAGATTCTCGGAAAAATTAAGCGGAAAAAAAAGACTTTTGAGTTGTGGCTATTAGCGTTTTTGACTATCAGTTTTAATTTCCTTGCTTTTAAAATAAGCCATGAAGCATAAGCGGATTTAGGGAGTGGACGCTTTTCCCCTTCTCATAGATTCACCCCCCCCCCCCCCCCACGAAAAACCAAAGGGTCCCATTTTAGTACTATTGTACGACATCCATTTTTTGCAGATCGACCCTAAAAACTTTCTACCCCTAAGTATTTCTAAATACGAGGGGAGAGCGCTGACCAAAAAAGCAATTTTTGGCCAAAAATCCAAAAAAAGCCTAAAATGTCGTTGTTGGCCAGTTTTGTTTCCAAAACTCGATTTAGACGCTCAATATACGGTTTAAGTAGTGTTTTGGTGGAGCTCAGAAAATCAATCTGGTTGAATTTATATAAATTTCGACTAAAACTTCGACAGTTTTTTTTTGAAAAACAGCCCTCCCGCAGCCTTCGAGAAAACTTAAGATCCGCGCCTGTATGGAAGCGCAGGGGCAGATCTAGAATTTTCTCGAGGGAGGGGGGAGGGGGGGGGGTTTGGATTTTCAAAAAACTCGAAAATTTTATCGACCTTTTTTTTAGATCGACCAAATTGATTTTCCGAGCTCTCCTAAAGCAGTAAAAGACCCTGTTTTGGCCAAATTTTCTGCGCCGCCAAAAAAGGCGTTTTTAGGCATTTTTTGGAAAACATTTTACCAAAAAATAGGGATTTTAGGCGCGCGCTCCCCAGTCAAAGTTAGTATATTTTGGCGCGGGTTGGGTCGGCATGGGGTCGAATCCCTAAGGGGGGGGGGGGGGGGGGTCCAACCCTCTCTTCCCCTAAATCGGCCCCTGTGGAAGCGTTTTAAAAATCATTAAGGAAACAAATCTGCTGTTGAATTAAGCTTGCCTTGATATCGGAGAGTCTGTCAGAATTTTCAGATGACATTGGGATTCTCATTAGAGTCGCCTGAGCTTCAGAAACAGCCTGAATTGTATGAGGTTGTCCAAGTGTCTAAAATAGTTTAATCAGATGCAAACACTATTCAACTTGAGAAACTGTCGGTTAATTTGAAGAGATTCTATGATGTTTTACCTCAATCAAGGCCACCGGAATGCGATCTCCTTTGCCGAGTAGGCTCGCTACGTTACTCCCCAAAGACTCTGCAACCTTCGCTTTCAGATAATTCTCGTCGGATATCAGTTTGGCGAGTGACTTCTGGAGTTTGAAAAAAATGAGAGATTCAATTCAGTATAGTGATAGTTATGATCTTTTCAGAAACATTAAATTGAATATTCAGAAAAGGTACTTTTTCGAAAACTAGTTTTCATCGCTTTAAACAAATCCGGGTCATTGTGTTATTGGTAATTTGTGTTGCTCAGTTTATCAATGCAAATTTCCTGTCAATTTTGAGACTTTTCAAAAAAAAAATTGATTAAAAAGCGACTGGCTTCAAGCAAAAACAGAATAAAAAATACCTTTTGTACTGGCGTAAGTTCCACTGATCTGGACTGAAGAAGGGATGCGACGGAGGTCACAGTTGCACACTCTTTCACCTAAATAGATGCACACCTGGCTGAACTCAGCACTGAAAATGGTTGTCATAAAAACCATTCATAAAAAATGTACAACTAGCATTTTATCTACAAATAAATTGCGTTCATTCAAACTGATAATTCACAATATCAGAAAAAATGTAAAATCAAACTGCTTCATTCAAGGTTTTTTACAGAAGTAGCTGTAACATTTTTGAATATTTTGAAAAACTGCTGGTCATGCATATTTTAGTTTAGGAAAATGATCGGAAAGCAGTTTAAACATGAAGACCAGAATAAAATAACGTTAAGGTTAGTCGATAAAAATTTTTTCGACAAAAATTTTCTACACAATTTTTTAAAACAAAAATAAAAAAAATAAAACACCTATTGAGTATCTGTGAAAAGCCAGATATTTTATTTATAGTAACAGGCCACGAATTTTAACCCTAGAAATTTTTTTTTTCAAAGTAGAAATTATCTGGCCAGATACAAAAACTTACGTTTTTTGTTGAAGATCGGTGTGAGTTTTTTGTTTTAACATGAATGGCAAATCTACAAATGAACTTTTTCTGATTGATCCTTTTTCGGTTTTTTTTTGGGGTAAGATTGTTCTTGGCTTCTGTATTTCATAGCAAACAAAAAATGTAAAAAAGCTTAAAAAACTAAATGATCTTCATTTATGGAAAAGGATACTCACACAGTTCCGTTTTTCAAAATCATGTCGGTAGGGCTAGTTGGATAATTTTGTTGGGAGCTTTATTAGAATGTATGATGAGCGTTTTTTCATGAAACAAAACTGAATGATTAGATTTTGGTCAACTGGAGTACTCTTTAACGTCACAAAAATTGTATTTTTTTGACAAAGTTAGGTTGGGTGAAATATTTGAAACTATACCTGAAAACAAATAAAATATTGTTGATTAAGCAAAAAAATTCTTCAAACAATTTGAGAAATTGAGAAACGACGATGATTGGCCCAAAATTAGTTCTTTTTGCGGTATAAACATAATCAATTGAAAACATCGTACTGAAAAAGATGGAGGAATTTTGATTTTTGGTTAAACAATAGCTCCAAGAAATTCTACCCTGCTCCAATCGAAGGTTCCACGTTCTGTTTGTGAGAAAGTTTGTACTATCTTACCATGTGTTCCAATCTAGCCCAAGACATTTTCCATGAACTAAGAGCAACTAAAAAAACTCCAGCCTTCAAAAACTAACAAAACAGAAAGATTCTGAGCAAATCAAAAAACAGTTAGAATAATTTGATAAAATGATTGCGGCATGTGAATAAAAATCAACGAGAATTACACTTTGTTGTTTTATATCAGAAAAAAACTCAAATCGAGAAGGACCAAAAAATTTAAATTGAGTTTCATCATAGTTATGCATTGCTGCTAATTATTAAATGAGCAAATCCTGAATTGCAAAGTCTTTTTTAGCTTAGTGGATAGTGCATGTGCTTCAATAATCATTGTTCTAAAGATCATTTTCCGCGTAATTAATTGCTTAAGCCGAATTCAAAAAACTTTCTAGAAATCTTTGGTAGACTCAAAAAGGAAGTGTAAACTCCTCAGTATCAGGGCAAGGTGGTTCTGGATGGCGGAGCGTGGGACAACGAAACATACATTTTCAAATCAGCAAACATTATCAGCAAACAGGAACCTAATGCCAGACCACCAGAAACTCATAAAATGCATGTTTTTCATAAACTCATATAGTTGTTTTGAAAATTGAAAAAATTGTTAAGCAAACAGAACTAAGGAAAAGCTGTTGCTCTTATAGATTTGAAAATATCGAGTTTTTACATTGCTGCATCTAATTTTTAAATATACGGCTAGTTTTCCCTAAAAGAGAAGCAACACCAAGATGCAATCTTTCTCCGGCGATCGCTATCCAGATTAATCCAGCCGCTGCTTCTTCGGAAAGATTCTGAAAAGTTGCCAAAAAAAAAGATCACATTTTTTGCAATAGTTTTGTCTTTGATATAGGTTCAATGGAAGTGTGAGACTATCTCGTCATTGATGTCAAACTTCTATGAAAAATTTTGACGTTCTCAATGACCAGTTTTTAAAACAACATTGATCATTATAAATGATTTAAGAAATGATAGCTGGAATCAGCCGCAGAGCCAAAATGAGTTCATAGTTGTTTTTATACAGGCATTTTGGTCCCGGTTTTTTAATATCCGAAAGAAATCTTGAAACAACTAAATACCGCAGCCTTCAAGCAAAGCTCCGTATATTGACTGGCGAAGCACTACTTGTTCAAATTGAGTAAAAGATTGTTTGGGTGATATTGATAAACCCTTCAGTAGCTTTTTGTTCTGTTTTATTTGACAAAACTTCATTAACACAAGAGAGGAAACAGCTCGATACAAGTTCAGGGTCTGGATATTTTCTCGTTTTCCAAAACTTGGCACTTTTTCCGGATGCTCAATGCCGCTATCGACCACTAAGCTTATATTTTTCTACTTCCATACAAGAGGACAAGTTTCTACAGTAAATGAAGTTTCACAAAAGCATTAACAAAATCATCGCTTAACAATGCTGCTCCAGCTAACAACAGCACCATTCAACCACGGCAAAATTTAAAATTTTAATGAATTCTGAACCATTTTCATTCGACGCATATACAACAATCACACTAGGAAAGCCTTTAAAAAATGAAACAAAAAGCAATCATTTGAAGTCAACTTTCCTTCAAAAAGGTGGCACAAAATGAGAACAAGACTGCTCGTTTTAGGGCGAAGCCCTGAAAATTCCGACTGCCTTTTAAGGTCTATGGAGCATTAATAAGATGAAAAATTTCAATGTAATAAAAAAAATTTAAAAAATTTTTTGGAAAAAATTTGAGATTTTATGTAAAAACATCCCCCCACACGTCATATTAAGTACAAAGTGATAGATTTTGCGCCTATTAACAAATCAATTATGGCATATAACCTTCCTTGAACCAATTTGGAACGATTTCTAAGACGGATTAAAAAGTTCCGTCAAAAACGGCTAGTTAAAAAGTCGAAATTTGTCTGAAGAAAAAAAAAACCCACCGCGAAAAGGGGCTTGTTAAAATTTTGAATGAGGGCTTTATTTGAAGAGGAAAATTGCTCGCTGGATGCGCTTGTGGTTCAAGCAAACATTCATAAGCAAGTTTATTTTTGAAATTCATTCACAAATTAATTCAAAGTTAGAATCGCACATGACTGGCATAATTTTTCTTTTAATTTATAAATATTCAAATTTTTGATTTATCGAAGGTATGCTTTTTATGGATGTTTTTAATCTGGCTAATTCAAGGGATAAGCAGTTAAAAACTTCAACGCAACCCAAATAAATGTTTTGTCGGAGATAGCGAAACGCCGGAAACCTCTCAACCCCCCTGAGTTTAAGAAAAACAATGTTTCGATAAGTTAATAACTAAAGACACACACCTGAGCGGATAGTTGTTCCATTTCTCTGGAGGTCATTTGCGGTTCGCATGTTGCAAAAATGTCGTCCAGTAGGATTTGAACAGAATCGTCTAAATATGTTTTCCTGTTTTTGACTTCTTTGATATCTTCCTGAAATTGGTTGAACAAAAAATTTGAGTGAAATATTTAGTTTTTTATGCAAAAAGGTGAGTTTTTTGAATACTTACGTCAATTTTAAGTCGCAAGTCGGTTGGCAACTGTTTTGAAGCTTCTTCCAATTTTTGAACATTTTCATCAATCTAAAACCATTTAGAGCTGCAAAAACCTGATATAAATCTATGGGTAATGTTCTTCTTTAATAATACTACCGTGTCTTTAAATTGAGATCTGCTGATGTTATTGTTGTTTATGGGACTAATTCCCTCGTGAAGGCAGACTATGCTGTACGAAGCAAGCGCTTCTTCCGTATTCTGTTCCAGCTGTGAGCATCTGTCTATACTACTCGTCAGCTGCGACTACAAATTGAAATATTTAACCAAAGAATAATTCAGATCTGGCAGCAGTTACAGTCAACTTTTTGCGACATTTTTAAGGGGGATCGAAAACACAAATCGCTTCTTTCTTAAATTAATTTTTGAAATGAAATTTCAACTACACTTTCACAGCTGCTTTGTTGGGAAATTCTGAATCATTGGCAGGCATTTGAATCACTTGTTGGGATATCACTTGTTTGCAAAGTGAAATACAGTTTTTATGCTAATAAGTTAGCACGAGTCAAGAATGAGAGCAAACTCTTTTTCGAAGTTTATAATATTTTGAATGATTGTTTTGCTATGATTGGTAAAGCTAGCATCGCGTTTTCATTATCTAACCAGTTCAAACCTTCCTGTTTGTAATCATTTTTTGTTAAACTCATTCATATTTCTGAAGTTTTGAAGATATTCCGAAATTGCCCAATAAATTCAGCAGTTCCTGATGGTTTATCAAAAAATTTAGTAAAAATTTCATAACCTCAATGCCCTCACAATTGTTTAAAATTGCAGTGGGAGCTTTAATTGTGTAACACAACAAAACAGGTGAACAGATATCGGTTATACATTTTTTCGGACTGTTGATTGATAAAAAATTGAGTTGGAGTCCTCACATTAGTAGCATTTCAAATAATTTAATTATCAAAATTGTTGTTTTCTATAAAAAATCAGATGCGTGTTTCAGCGTAACTATCTACTTAAGTACTACTATAATTCAATTAAATTACAATAAAGCACCAATCATTCTATATGGTGGTTTAAAATACGATTGCTCAAACAACACTAGTCGGAATCAGGTACTGAAAAGCAAAAATAAATTCGAAGAACTTTTTTTCGAAAGATACCGTGATTCCGCTCTGAACCTGATAATTAAAAAAAATTTATGCTGTGTTTTTGAATTTGATTTTGCTAGTCGGTATCGACTCAACTGCTTTTATCACACGATTTTAGACCGTTGTAATATTCATAGTAAAGGCTTACACGACATTGTTTTATAAAAAAAAACTACAAACCAAGCAATTTACAAGAACATAGTGGGTGCTGAGTAACGAATTGGCTCTAAAAGCTTCGATATTCTTTGACCAAGTATATTTGAGGAGCTTTTTTGGTTTATTTGTACAAAACTTATGATTTTTTTCTTTCAAGTTGCCTTAATAAACTAAAGCTCCTCTTTTTCACTAGTTACTGCGGCATGGAAGTCTCTAACCTGATCTACAGGGGTAAGAAAACTTCAGGTGCACTTCACAATTAGAAGAAGCAGTAGCTATAAACTGAACAAAATCAAGAAATTTGAGTGAACCGGTTACATGAGCCTACGACTAGCGACTTTCAAAAACAAAAAGACTTTGGTAGTTGAATTTTTGGAAAAATTAAGATCTTTGTTTTTCGAACTTGTATGATCAAGGTTACCAGTGTTGGTATCAAGGGACTTTGCTTTGAAACAAAACAAACACATTCGACTTTTACGTTTAAGAATCAAGTCAGATCAACTTTTTATTCGCCATCTGCTTTCATTTTTCTTCTAAATAAATTTTTTTCGTAATACCCACATATTAGATTCAGCGTCGTGAGAGCAAATGCCTGTCGCTAATCCTAGGCAGAGTTCCTGTCTTCATTTGAACCTATTTTTATTGTAAATAAATGGATGCCAAGTTTGTTATTATGCTTGTGACTTTGCCGAAGTTAGTTAGTTCATATATTTATCATAAAATGAAGGAATTTTGGATTTTGATTTTTGATGTAACTAAGAAATTTACATTTTACGAAGCCTAATTTTGCTAATTTTGCTAAAAAAATGAAATCACGACATCTAGATAGGTGTCGAGATTACTGTCCAAGACTCATACAATATATAATGAAGAAACTACAACACACTCATTCACCTGAAGTTGATTTAGCTCAGCTCTGGAGTTCCCTGTAGCCAGCGGAGACAAAAGAGCTTCATTAACGGCTCTAATTGTGGCCTGAAGCTTGTCATCAGTTAACGAGAAATTTCTCTGAAACAGAAAAAAAACTGTTCCTCTTCAAAAATGTCAAAGAAACAAAAGGTTCTCAAAGGAATAATCAACAGAAATAAAGGAATCTGATGTTTTAGGAAAACCATTTATTCAATCTATCGGAAGCGATATTTTGAATAAATCCCTTTTGTTCTATATAGTTTTTCTTAAATAAATTTTATGGCATAAAGATTTTTGTGAAGAGAAGAACTTGGTGCTTACAGGATGCTTGGAAGTGAGATCAATTGAGTTCTCAGCGGCAATTTCGAAGACAGAGTCTGCTATTCCATCCAAAGATTTGTTCACGTCCGATCTAGTCTGCATCAAGGAATCGACTGCAGCCTGAAACGACACTCAAGTTCAAGTTTTTTCTTAAAAAAAAATCATGAAAATTAAACGTTCGAAGATCTATTAATTTATAATATACGCTTTTGAGATAAATTAAGAAATCAGGCATATTCTTCACGTTTTAGGTAGAGATATGAAATCAGTCAAAAAAATCAGGAGTTCAGGAAAAGTTTAAGTTCAAGCTCAACCCAAACGAACAAATAACTGCTGGGGAAAATATTCTAAACTAAATAACAATTTCATAATAATATCTTGTTTCTTTTGATTACAAAATTTAGTCTCATTTTTTTGCAGAAGGGCAATCTGAGAATACTTTTCTATATTTATTTCCCTTACAACGTTTGTAAAAGCATTGAAAAACCTGATTTTTCAGATAAATAAAATATGCTGCTCTAAGTGTCCCTTGACTCTAACCTTAAGTTTCATTTATTTTTTTATCAAACAAAAATTTAGAACAAAAGAAAAAAGCAATCAAGAGTATCAGTTACCTCAATTTTTCAATTGTTTCGATTCAACATGAAACTTACCAGCTTTTTGACATGTTCCTGACATATGTGAAAAAAGAAAGTGTTGATTGAAGTTTTCAATGTTTAGCTACATACAGTTTCAAGCGTTCATAATCGATTATATAATGAATTTAGTCTTTTTAAATTTAAGAACATCCATACAATCAATTAGTTTTTTTATTACAATCTCTTGTTCTTATAACAATTGTAATCAACTATAGAACATTTTAATCAATCATAATTAATTATTTTTTGATCAGTTTTCCGCTACAATTTTAATCTATTATTACGATTTCATCTTCAATCTTTTAATATGAAAAAAAAATCTTCGAAAGTCGGAGCAAAGAGCGCTTGTATTTTGCTATAGTAACTCAAATGTGGACTTACAAACCCAATGGTTGAGATCAGGGGCGGATCTAGGATTTTCTCGAGGGGGGGGCGGATTTTCGAAAAAAATTTCCAAAATTTTGACGACCTTTTTTTTTTTTTTAGGTCGACCAAATTGATTTTTCGAGCTCTCCCAAAGCACTGTTTTGCGCCTATTTTGGTAAAATTTTCTGCGCCGCAGGCAAATTTTTGAAAAAACAGTCAAAAAAGCCGTTTTTGGGCACTTTTTGAAAATTTTTGACAATAAAATTGCGTTTTTTTTGGCGCGCGCTCCCCCTCAAAGTTAGTATATATTGGCGCCAAAGGCGCCTTTAGAAAAATTTTAGGGTCGGTCCGCCAAAAATGGATTTCTGAAAAAGTATTAAAGGGGGGACCCTTTGGGTCGGCAGGGGGTCGAATCCCTGAAGGGAGGGCGTCCGCCCCCCCCCCGCCCCCCCCCCCCCCCCTAAATCCGCCCCTGGTTGAGATAACACTTGTTCAAAAAAAGTCGAAATCAATTTGAAAACATTTCAACTATAAGCGAACAAAACAACTTTCGTCAAAATTTCAAACTGCAGTAAAGATGCAGTTAAATTGTACATTGACTAAAACTTATTGTGTTTTTTCATGGCTGCAATTCCGGCCCGAACAAAATAAACAATCATCCCTTAATATTTGAAAATGCTTAATTGACGCAAAAAGACGCGCCACCTTTATATTTAGTTAGAATTAAACTTGCTAAATGCTCTGTGTTATTAGACGGGGATTTGCTGAAAATTTCAACCCATAGCCAAGCTGACATACCCGCTTTAAGAGGGGCGGGTGCTAAATTATCAAAGCCTTTTGTTAATTGTATTATTTGAATCTTCTTTAAATTTATACCTGCATCTCCTCTGCCACTGAGCTGGCTTGGATGGGAGTTACCGAGGCTGCCACTTCCAACTGGACCAGTTTCTCATCAATCCCAAAACTCTGAAACAAAAATTTCATGAACCGATTCATTGAAAAAAAAATCGTAAATGTTCTTAGATACTTGACCCTAGTTTTGCATATCTACATTGTACGTTAAGTACGTTTTGGCCTGACAAAAATTGTTTAAGTAGGAACAAATTAAGTTACTTACAGGCAAAATGTTAGCTTGTGATTGGGGCTCATTAATTTCCTGCTTTAGCGTCTCGGCTACTGCTCTGTTCAACTGCTGATTGATTTTGTACTCTTCTTTCACAGCTTTTTCCACTTCACTCTGAAATAGAAACTTGGATCTACTTAACAACCCCCACACCTTTACGAAAGTGGGGAGATTGTTGAGTATATCAAAATGGTCGATTTTTCGACCAATCAGAATGCATCAAAATTAGAATTCTCATTACAAGCTCTAGTACTACCCTAGTCGATCAAGGGAGGTTATCTTGCAAGATCTTGCAAGAATCTTGCAAGATTCTTTTAAAGAGGATGCATCTCTTTAAAAGATCTTGCAAGATTCTTGCAAGATCTTGCAAGATAACCTCCTTTAAAGATAACCTTTTTTTGCAAGATCTTTAAAGATACAATTTTTTTGGGCAAAAACAGCTTTACACGCGAAGACAACCAAGTAGCGTTCGTGGAAGAAGGAAGCAATCTTAGCTACGCATACATACACACAGCCCGCTCAAAAATCTCAACTTTCAAAACTCAAAGAAAAAAATAGAAGCCCTTTAAGCTCTTTAAATTTCTAGAACAATTTATGATGGGCGCTTTTTTGATAACATGAACCCGACTTGAGAAAACTGGATCAATAAGTAAAGTTTTTATTCTCTGGAAATCTAAAAAGTAAATTCCACTTTCAAAACTAGAAATCGATAGTCGAAAAAACTAAATATCCCCGGTTTGAACTAATGAAAGCAATTCGTCACAAAAATTTTTTGGCCAATAATCCTTCAATTTTCGCAAACCAGTAGCCGCAATAATTGCGAATATATTAAAAAGATTTGATTGGTTGATACTTTTAATCTCATTGAATAAATTAACAACAAATATGCGACTACTTTTTAACGCATGATTTTTGTCTAATTTTATTCGTTAAGCATTTAGAAACATCTCGTTCTAGAAATTTTATTCGTTAAGCATCTCGTTCTAGAAATTTTATTCGTTAAGCATCTCGTTCTAGAAACAATTTTTTTGATCTTACACCTAATTTCTGTTATTTTTTTTGTGTTTTTCGACAGAAATTTTGGGATGGTTATCTTGCAAGATTCTTGCAAGATTCTTGCAAGATAGCCTCCCTCTTTCAAGATTCTTGCAAGATAACCTCCATCTTGCAAGATCTTGCAAGATAACCTCCATCTTGCAAGATCTTGCAAGATAACCCTCTTTTGCAAGAATCTTGCAAGATCTTGCAAGATAACCTCCCTTGATCGACTAGGGTAATTTACTGTATTTATTAATAGGGGTAGATTGTTAAGTAGATCCAGAAACCTTACGGAAACCAATGAAAAACAAGATTCCTCGAATCAAAGCGATGCCCTAAATGTTCTGATTGAGCTTCAGGGCTTTTTGAAGAAAATTCAGTTTTAACCTTTTTTATGATGTTTTACAAAATAATTGAAAAAAAATAATTAATATAAATTTAATTTAAAAGTTTGAAGTTTTTCGTATTTTTTTAACTTTTCCCCAATGCCCCAATAAAAATATAGAATAATAAATTTTTCATCTATCAACATAGTATTTGGATCAGTTAGAATCTCCAAATTTAGTTTGGAACAATAATATCCTGCCAAATTTTTCCAGAAACTTCTATTATTAAAGCAAACGCTACCTTTTTTTAAGTAAGAGTATCCTTTTGACTTTATTTATTCCAAATTTCTCAAATTCAAACTATTTTATTCCAATTTTTACGAAAAAATGGAATATTTGAAAACAAAAACTTTCAAACTTTGTTGAATCTTCATAGAAAATAAAGCTCCCCTTAGCAGCTATAATCTGTAAGATGTCATCTAATCGTGCATCTTTTTTCTTCAAAAAACTTTTGAATTTTTTGAGAGCCACATTTGAATGGATTTTCTTATACCACCTGAAAATTACTGATGTCCCCAATTCAAATGTTAAAATTTTTTAGCTGATATAACTCTTAGTAAAATTATGGCGGTTTGAAAATTGCGAGTTTGGCTTATTTCGGACGATTATCGCTCAATACTTTTTTTGCTCTTATAAAAGCTAAAGCGACCATTTAATCCGGCCTGAAAAATTTTTAACTTTTATTTGAGGCAAGTTAAAGGGAAATTTTTATATGTTGCTAAACACATATTACATAATTTTGGAATTGGAGTGCTTTTTTCCACGCTAAATCAGGGACCACACATGATGATCGGACTGGGTTTAATAATATGTCATATTACAGCTCTTTCAGTTGTAATTTAAAAAACATTTTAAAAAACCCAAAAAACTTTCCCAGTGTCCAAAAAAAACGGTTTGAAATATTTGATTTTTTGTCTTAATTCGAGCGAATAAAACAAGCGAGCAGCCTTTTTGTTTTCCACGCAAAATCAGCTACCCCGAATAATCATTGGATCAGGTTTAGTGATATATCTTAATAAAACCCTTTCACTCGTAATTCGAACGACATCAAAAATATCAAAAAAGTTTTTGAAATTTTTGGTTTTTTGTCTAATTTCAAGTGAGTGAGCAGGCTTACATTAGCTTATTTAAGCTTAATTTAGGACCTGAAAAATTAGATTGGCTCAAATGAAGTTAGTTTTTAAAGTTTTTAGCGTCATCTTAGGAATCAAAAATTTCAAAATTTTGGGAAAAAAATTTGAAAAGTTATAAAAAACTTTTTTTTTGAATTTTTTGTTTTTCTTGTTATTTGTCCTCAAAAAATTGTTTTTCAATTTGCGTATTTTACAATGACTGACGAAAATGCCCAATCTATTTTTTTTGTTGAGATTCTTTTATCACACCAAGCCGAAAAAACGACAGTTTTGTTGTAATTTTTAAGACGGTCGGAACATTCTGTGCTATTTGCACAGTAACCGGCTATTCTTGTATATATGAAAAGCTCAAAATGAAAAAGGTATTTTATTCACGGGTTAGTTTTCTTCGTACTCTAGTTTTAAGTTTTTTAAATCATACAATTTGCAGCTACTGCAGATAGGTTAGTTTACATTCGGACAGCATTCAAAATTTCTCCACTGTTGTTTTTGTTAATAATAAGAAATCGTAACTTTTTACGAAAGATATTGATGGTATTAAAAAATTTGAATGTATAACATGTATACATAATAGTTGGTCATCTTTGAACTTGTATTGATCAACTTAATCATTGAATTTTATAGGTCTTAAAGCACTGGTTGCATAATACTTCTTGAAATTGGTTTTAGAAAAGTCAAATTAATGAGTCAATATTGGAAACCAAAATCTTTAACTTCCAAATTTTTTGTGACATGGTTGTTTGTTTGTTGAGGTCATCTAAGCTAAATAACCGACTTGCAATATGTTCATTTAGTTCAGTAATCATGAAACACATCTGTCATGTTAACTAAGAGAAATCCCAATAGCGATCCGCCGACATTTCCCAATTGGGCGGCAACAGAGCCCCACTTTATCGCGTTGTCGAACTTCATTTTGCTCAGTTCGTAAAACACTTTAGAGTAGAGAAAATATCCAGTCGAGGCTTCCGCAGCCCAAAGACCTATGACCACAGTTTCGCCCCAAAAATTGCCCACAAATGGGGGGTTTGGGCTTTTCGAAGCAATAAAAAGAAGAATGAAGCATATGATAATATGTATAAGGAGTAATAAGAAGTATGATATGAGCCGTCGCATAGGGGTGTAATGGGCCACTATGGCTATTAAGGGCATTGAGACCCCCCAAAAGGCCACCGACAAATTGAAGCATCTTTGGCTGTAGGGAATGGTAGTAAATGTAAAAAACGAAGGCATTAGAGTGAAACACGTTGCTATGACAACGAACCACATACCAAACATACAGTACATATGTGCCTTGCAACTTCGAACATTCTGGAATAATCCATGAGCGCAAATATTTTCTTCTTTTTGTGTTTGACAATCACCGTCACCCAAATTTGGGTTTTCAACGTTCGGAATCAAAAATACTTTTTCGTCATCGACGTTTCTATAATCGGAAGCTTTTTTTTGACATACTGCGCAGAGTTTCGGGATTAATACGAATCATAATCCACAAAGTAACGCAAGTTGATGAATAAATAACAGCAAAAATAATTAAAGCCGTTTCAGGCCCAAAAACAAAGTCAGTCGAAAGAAACATGTCATTTTTTCTTTCATTTTCAACTGGTTTTCCATCGACGAAAACTTCTAAATTGTCCTTTTTGAAATAAATTTTGTATCCTTGAATATAAGACAAAATAGTGGCAAATAGTCCGCCCAAAGTATCGCCGATTAAGTTCGCAGTGACGTATCTCTCTCCGAACATTTTGTCGGCTAGCATGTAAATCAAGGTCATCCGAATTGCGTCAAGCCCGAAAAGACAAAACGACGTGATCAAAAAACCGAGGCTCAATCCACTCGGAAAATTGTCACAAGGCGGCAAAACTTTATCCCACGTCATAACCAAAGACACACTTAAGAGAAATCCAAGGCCATAACAAATAAAGTTAGCCCTGATTAACCCCGGTTTGAGAAAAATGGGTAAAAGTATGAGCGAAAAGGTGGAAGTTCCTTTCATGAATGTAACCCAAGAGCCCAATCTCCACCCTTCGGGCAAGTAGGGCACCAAAAATGGCAATTCAATGATCAGGGCGTCGCTGTACAACCACATGGCTAAAGATGTCCACATAACAAGAAAAAAGTTCAAAGAAGTTTTGTGCTTCGAAACCCATTGATTTATTTTAAAAATCATGACGAAAGAAACAATTTTTTTTCCCCAAAGTGTTCAAAAATAGTTGCTCAAACCAAATGATCGATTGCTTTTCTCAGAAAATTAAAACATAATTTTAAGAATGATTCTGAAATGCTTATACTTTTTTGGGAAGATTTTGGGTAAGATTTTCACGCTTCAAGGTATAATTAAAAGATAAATAATTTTGTTTTTTATTTGTGAAACTAATAATGAATCGCTCTCCACTGACTAACTGTGCATTTTAATTATCTGGGCATTTGTTTTTTATTGAGTCAAGTTTTGTCGTGCTTGTTTTGCCCGAGGGCTAAAGGGCAGTTTGTATGTTTGATGTCTAAACTGCCCATATTATGATAAGATTCGAAACGCTTGATTTTATTGCTACCGGGTAAA